TTTTTTTTTTTAGAGACAGAGTCTCACTTTATCACTTATGGTAGAGTGCGGTGGCATCACAACTCACAGCAACATCCAACTCCTGGGCTTAGGTTATTCTCTTGCCTCAGCTTCCAGAGTAGCTGGGACTACAGGTGCCCGCCAGAACACCCAGATATTTTTTCTGTTGTTGTTGCAGTTTGGCTGGGGCTGGGTTCAAACCTGCCACCCTTGGCATATGGGGGCCAGCATCCTACCCACTGAGCCACAGGTACTGCCCTTAAGGTAACTTTAAGCCACTCTTGCTATAGTTAAATTGAATAGCTAAGTTAGTTTGATGTATGGATCTCCATAAAACTTTGTTGAAGAAACCAAGAATCAGGTACTGCGGACTGCAGCAGAGTAAAACAGACATTAGCTGGATCATCTCAAGAGAACTTTAGAAGTTGTTGTAATCTTTGGGTCTGTTTTGGATCAAGCTCTCCAGAGAAGGGTTGTTCTAGGTGCTCTCCCTTTCCTATATCCTCTGCCCATTCTCCCTTTGACTGTGTCCCAGCACTCATCCCACATGCCCTTAGTGTTTTCTCTGTTGTCCCAAGGATCCCATCTTCTTAGTCCTTGAACACAAGGTTTCCTCTCTCAGATCCTCTTTGCTTCCTGGTCTCCAAAGTATAAATGTGGCGCTTGATTAGGGAGAAGAGCTCAGCACTGAATTCTAAACTCTTTGACTGCTTTTATTTTTCTTTTTTCAGGTTCAAGTGCTGGATTGTGTCATGTGACCATCCCAAAACTCAGAGCACCCTATGGCCATCTTTGCCCTCTGTCACATAACTTGAAAACTGCCTGATGGCCTTTTGCAGTGGTTCCCTCCAGGAAGCCTTGATCTCAGTGAAGAAGTCCTTTCCCGGCATTCCAGTGCCCCTGTCAACCCCATACTCCTCAGACATCCTTAACAAACAAAGGCTATCACGCACACAATGTAACAAATACACAAAGTAAATAATAATTACACTAATAATGATATGTTCAGAGGGGCACTGGCCAGGTCCACACACAGGTGGAGGTGGGGTGTTAGCTCCCACTGGGTTGCTGAGCTATGCCCTCAAGCCTCTTTACCCCATGCCTCTTTGGGGGTAGGGAGGAACAAGGGAATGAGACCTCAGCTCATAGATTTATGTTCATAAAAGAAAGCATCCCCCCCCCCACAAAAGGTCTTTTATTTGGTGGTATTAAAGGGGCAATATTCTAGGTGTCCCCCACATTTAGTGCCCCAGCTCTATAATCTGTAGAGGAAAGTTACCTGATGCTTATTGCCCAATCTCAACCCTGTGCCAAGATCAAGAGGCATTTGACCTTGGAGGGAGTCATCTTCTGTTCTTCAGTTCTCTATTCCTCTCCTTCCACCATAGAAATGTGAGTGGTGTTGATGGTCACATGTGTCTTGTTCTCCAAGATTGGGTCAGAAGGAAGGATGAAGAACAGGGCCAGAGAAGAGAAGCTTGGGTTTAATGTAGCTGCTATATGGGAGAAGGTGAATTGAAAAGCTTAACAGCCCCTGCCCATTTCTATACTGAAACACCTTATTTCACTTTCTCACTATGAGAATAGGAATAAGATGCTAAAGCTCACCAACAGAACTAACCTTTTCAAGGGCAGGTCACATACCTTTGCCCCTTCTACCGTCTGGGCCAAATGGGAGTCATGCTTTCAGGAAGAGCTTGCCTTCCAGGTCTGCTCTCCAGCTCAGGCTTAACTTCCATTTAATATTGTTGGTGTCAGACCCATAACTGCTGGCTCTACTCAGACTGATAATTTTGCTAAAGGTTCTTCTCCCCTCCTGACATCCTCTAGGCTCTAGCTTGGAGCCAAGAGGTCTGGCCTGGTGATGAGGTATGGATAGGGTGTGGATCAGGAGATTCTCAACTCCTTGGCTTCAGGCACTGTCCAGCTGGGAGGCAGAGGGAAACTTGAGTACTTTGAAGCCTGTGACTCCTCTAAGCCTCGCATCTCTTCACCACTACTCTGGTGCCCTGGTTATCTGTCCCACAGCGAGAGGTATTTTATGTCCATAAAGTGCCCGTGGTAAGTGCTCAGAATTCATCTCTTGGCTGTGGCGGGTGCTGCTATTTCTCATTCCGTCGAGGGGAAGAAACTGAGGCATGGTGAGTCCAGAGGAGGGTGGGTCAGGATTAGGGGAGGAATGAATGGGCTGAGCTAGTGACTTGACTAGTGACTCTCTGCCTGCTTCCTAGCCTTCTAAACCAGGGAATTTCCATCCTTCCCATCCTGTGCTCTAACTGGCCTTATCAGATGCTTTTCCCCATTGTACTGTCTCCTCCCTGCTTTCAGGTACTGTTAGATTCCAAAAATAAATGGTAAAAATAATTATAGACACTCTGCTCCCTTATTCTCCCCCCTTCCACCCTGAGCTTTGGGGTTGGGGGACTAAAATGTCCCCGTCTCCAGAATCCCTTCCACCTTATCTACTGGCTCAATTCCCTAGCCGAGAGCAGTGATTTGGGTTCAAATGCCCTGTAACCTTCAGCCTCCTTTTTGCCCCTTTCTTGACTCCTCCAAACCCTTCCCAGACCTAGGGGACTCTGGGATCACTATACTCTCATTTTTATTGACCTGAAGATAGAGGCTGGGAGCAGGGGCATTCCACAGGCTCTTTGGTCTCTCTCTTGGCTGAGGGAATTTGGGCATGTGCAGGCAGCACCCTCTGGCTAAATAACCCAGTATTATTGAGGGTGGACCTGAGGGTTAGTTTAGTGGCTCTCATTACATAGATCCTGGATGTTGAGGGTTCTCCCTGCCCCCAGCTCTAACCTCTGCTTCCAATTCAACCTGTTTGGCTCAGAAAGGTTGAGTTAGGGTGATTACGGGTTACAAACTTCCATGTGTCAGCCCTCTTGCCCTTTACTCCCATTCCCAACCCTGGAGGCTTTATACAAGTGCTTAAGTGGATAGGTACTGGGGGAGAGTAGGGTTTAGGGGAAAAGGGACAAATTGGGCACAATGGGTAGGGGCCTTCCTATTCCAATAAAGCCAAATACCAAAAAAATGAAAAATCACAATAAATAAATAAATAAAACTCCCAAATCCTTAACTTTTGCCCCTGCCCTCACTTCCCTTCCCCTGGCCACTGTTGGAGGAAGAGAAGGAAGAAGCTAAAAATTAGATTTTTGATTTCCTCTTCTACAGAGTAGTCAGGGGATTACCCCAAACTATACCAAGCCCCTTACTTTGCCAGTGGAAGAAAGAAAGCTTGGTGTGGGGCTTTCATTTATTACTCCATTTCAGTCTCTTTCTCAGTGTTTGTCTCTGTCTAGTCTGTCTCTTCTGCCTTTCCCTCCCTTTGCCTTCTTTCTGCTGCTCTTTTTGTTCCTCTGTCTCTATCCCTCTGTCTCTACATCTCTCTGTCTTCTTGCCAAACTTTCTCATCTGCAAACTTCAAACAGTCCCCAACCTAACCATCCTCTCCTTCCCCTTTCCCCCAAACCCCTCACCCCTCAAATCCCACCTGCCTCCCTCTGTTGTATTGCACACTGCTTGGTCAGGGAACAAGGTGTGATGTTCACGGGAAGAGGTGGAGGGAGCTCTAGGGCTTGGGGGTCTGAGGGTCAGGGCCAGGGTCTTGGGGTAGGGTCTGTGGGGGAGGCATCTTCAGTCCCCCACCTTAAGAACAGCCACAGCGATCCACCACCATGCCAGGGATCTTGCCGTAGATAATTTGCTGCTTGTCATTGAAGTAGAGCATGTTGATTGGGGACATCTTGGTGGGGGTACAGCAAGGCCCAGCAGAGCCTCTTGGATTGGCCTGTTGCACCAAGTGGGTGTGTGGATATTTTTGCATGAACATGTATTCGCATTGGCCAGAGCAGTAGTTGGCCTTGTAGCGCTTAGGGGCGATGATCCAGTCCCAACCAAAAGCCTCAAAGTCCACTGTGAGGGGATATCTGCAGCAGCGGGACTCGCTTGAGTGCTCATCGCAGTCCAAGCCCAGATTCCGCCGGGAACGTTTTGTGTTCTCTAAAACTCGAAGCTCCATGAAAGGATGCTGAGGAGCAGGGAGAGGGGAAAGAGATGTCATATACCCCAAATTGTTCCTCTTCCCTGTTCCTTGCCCACCTGCTTCTCAACAGTAGCACCAAAATAGAAACCCGGGACTTCTCAGCTTTTCCACTGCCCCCACTCTCAGACCTTATCCTCTATCTACTTTTCTTTCCAGCTGGCCATCTGTCCTTCAGCTCTCCTTCCCTAATTCATCCTTTTTCTGCAACCTGACTCTCATCAGCCCCTTTGCCCAAAGCCTCACCAATGGCAAGTTTCTGTGTTCCCACAAGTCTCCCAATGACACCTTTACCTTCAAATTAAGTTTTCAGTTGTTGGCTGGCTTGGATCCCTGAAAAGTGATAGTTGCCACCCTACCATCCAACTCCTCCTCTAGAATTAGCTCCTGGCCTCAGACAAATAATGCTAGTCCCCTTCACATTCTTTTTTTTTTTTTTTTTAGAGAGTCTTTTTTGTCACCCTCAGTAGAGTGCCTTGGCGTCATAGCTCACAGCAACCTCAAACTCTTGGGCTCAAGCGATTCTCTTAGTTTAGCCTCCTGAGTAGCTGAGACTACAAGTGCCCACCACAATGCCCAGCTATTTTTAGAGAAGGGGTCTTATTCTCATTCAGGCTGGTCTCAAACCCATGAGCTCAGGCAATCCACTGCCTTGGCCTCCCAGAGTGCTAGGATTCCAGGTGTGAGCCATCCCACCCACCCCTTCTTCACATTCTTTGTCTACCTTTTCCCACATCCCTGTCCTTAGGGCCAGGTTACACGTACCCTCCACCACCTAATAACCCCTGCTCACCAGCCCCTCAGCTCCCGGCCCCAGGGAGGTGACAGCAAGGTCTGTGCCACTGGGATCAAAGGCGTTGATCTCGATGCCCCAGTTGCTCTGTGGCTGGCGGAACCAACTGTGTAGCACTTGCTTGAAGTCGATGCTCTGCCAGTGGCCAGAGCGAGAGTGCAGCTCAATCTTCAGTGAGCGGATACGGATGTGACGCCGGCCTCCGCCCCCTCCCCCTGCAGTCCCTTCCCCAGTTAGGGGTTTCAGTCGCAAAATCTGTAGGTAGACTGTGGCTGGACGGGGCACAGGCCTCAGGTACACCCACAGTTGAGCCTTCAGTACCTTTGTGAACATCACCTTGGGGCTGAAGTGGAAATGGCAGCATAGAGGACTGCCATCTGTCTGTACTGCTGGATCCGCTGATAAGAGAGAAGGGGGCACAGCATCAACAAATGATACTCAGTGGTATCAGCAATTTGGACTCCTCTGCCTGAGTTTTCCAATTCTCTACCCTTCTCCCATGCCTGTCTTACTGACTACTGTGTCTCTGGTACCCAAAAACAGTGTCTCCTCTCCTGTTAGGATACAGGCTTTGTCAGGCCTTGCTAATCTGCACCCATTCCCTAATCCATTTACCTTAATGCAAAGGTTCCCCTCCATCAGGTAACCTGCAAAGATAGTTACCAGAGAATTCTCCCTTCACCAGCAACCTTTCCTTCCTCCAACTTTTCCCAGCATGTAGGAACCCAACTTTTTTTTTTTTTTTTGAGACGGAGCCTCAAGCTATGCCCCTGGGTAGAGTGCCATGGCATCACGCTCACAGCAACCTCCAACTCCTGGGCTCAAGCAAGTCTCCTGCCTCAGCCTCCCAAGTAGCTGGGACTACAGGCGCCCACCACAACGCCTGGCCATTTTTTGGTTGCAGCCATTATTGTCGTTTGGCCGGCCCGGGCTGGATTCGAACCCGCCACCTTAGGTGTATGTGGCTAGTGCCTTAGCCACTTCAGCCACAGGTGCCGAGCCAGGAACCCAACTTTTTATGAATCTTTGATGATCATCATAAAAGCCATACCTATTATCACACCTGCTGTCCTAGGTCACTCATTTCTGCTCTGATTTGTATAATAGTCAGATGAAACTTGGCACAGTCCTTCCCCCCCAACACACAAAAAAAATACAGCCTCAGAGGGGATAACCCAAGGTTCAAACTGGGAACATGAGCTAAATTTATCCCATTAAATAAAGCAGAATTCAGATCTATGCTTCCTTCCTAGGAAGGGTATATACACATCAGAATGGAACTACCTATGCATTCCTGTACATCTGTCTCCCAATTCCCTCCCTCTTAAGGACAAGTTTCCTCAGCTGCTTACTCTTTACCATTTTTACCATCAACCATTATCGCCACAGCTCTTTTTTTTTTTTTTGGCCGGGACCAGGCTTGAACGCGCCATACCCAGTATATCGAGCTGGTGCCCTACTCCTTGAGCCATAGGCTCTGCCCCTATTGCCCCAGCTCTTGAGGAAGGGAAAAGGTACCTCTCTATGTCCTCCTATTTGCCCAAAGCATCAGAAATAACACACCAGATCAATTGTAATTAGTCTTCTCTTCTACTCTAAAGATTCCTTTGGTTTCTTAGTCCAGTGCCAGTAAGTCTTTATAAAAAGCACAACACCCCAACTTTACGTTTTGACTCCTTGCTCTGGACCATAAATTGACCCTTCTTGGGTCTAAAAGATGATGCTCAATAAGTAACTATGTCTGCTTCCATTCCAGCTCATCCTAGTTCCCCTTCCAAATCTTAGAAATATCCATTCTCACTCTAGATAGAAAGAACATGAGTGAGCTTTCAGAGCTATATAAATATGGTCAGGAAATATCATGCCTAGGTCTTGAGTTCTGCATAATCATGAAAGACTTAGGATGTTGTCTCTCATCAGCTACTTGCCCTACTCCACCCCAGGAAGAGGACCCTTCAGGTGAGATGGTGAAGAAAGTGCTTAATGATCTGCATATATTCAGGACATGATACACAAAGTCTCTCTGCAATTTCTTTTTCCTTGATTCATTTCTTTGAGATCTCAGGGCTCTGGTAGTTCCTCCAGTTACCCTACTAGCTAGAGCTTCAGTGATGATTCAGTAGAGTAAGTTTTTGGAAAGTGAAGGTTCAGAAGTTAGGATAACCTGGGGTAGGGAAGCTACTGATAAGATGGGGAGTGACAAGCAATATTCCAAATGTCATACTGTGCTTAATTCCAGCATAGGAATTGTCTGTTTTCTTTCCTTTAGGTACTAATCTCCATGGGACACTGTTAATACGGTGTTATTTTGCTCACCATTGTGGCCTTAGTACCATAGTACCAATAAATACATGTTGAATGAACTCCCAATCTTAAATCATACAGGCAAGTGCCTAAAGTTCTTCCTGGAATCTAAGCTGTTCTTTGGCTACAATTAAAGCAAGTGTAATCACTGTTCTTTGGCTACATTTGAAGCAAGTGCAATCACTCTTTGTTAACCAGTATCTCACCTTACCCGCCAAATTTCTCAGTGTGATAGAGATAATGATTCTTGCTTCACAGAAGTGCTGAACATTAAATGATATGAAAACAGTAGCTTCTCAATAAATTTTTGTTGGTTTGCTAAGCTCTAAACCTACCCCGCTACCTAAGATAACCCAGGGTTTGAAGGTAACAGACTAAGCACCAGGGCCCCATCTAAGTCTTTGATTCTTAAGAGTCCCCCATCCCCACCTCAGGGAATCACCATGCATTTGCAACAGTGGACATCACAGTGGTTATGGGGACAGTCAGTACTTCAAGGGGACAGGACATAGGGAGAAAGAAGGGAAAGCGGATGAGCCAGGAGAGAGACTGGAGATGGTGAGGGAGGTAACAGAGACTGTTAGAGAGGAAGGCAGGTTAGAAGAGGACATAAGCAGAGAAATGGAGCCTAAAGTAGGAGAGAGGGGGAGATGATGCTAAGAGGACGTGAAGTAAGTTTGGGAGTTGGAGAACACTGGGGAAGAGGATAGACAGGAGTGAATGAGGGGTTAGGAATCTAAAGGTGGGAGGAAGATAAACCCAGTAAGATAAAGAAGAGAAAGGATAGAAAGGGTACAGAGTGAGGAACAAAGGAGAAACAGGTAGAGCCACAGAGGGGACCGGGGCTTTGAGAGAATCCCCAACACACACATAAGCCCAGCTCTGGTGGGGAGGGGAAGGGGCCACATCTGTGTTGGATTGATTGGGTTGGCGGCAGGCAGCAGGTCAGGTTTAGTAGGCGGCGCTGATGGGGGAGAGAGGTCATTGCACTATTTTCAGCAAAAGCCCAACCCCCTCCCTGCACACCACCTCCCCTTCCCCCCTCCCCATCCCCCCAACACACACACTCCCTACCCAGGCTAGAAGGCCTAGGGGCAGGAGGTTGGGCTGAGAGGGCAGGGGCCTCTTAGTATGGGGAGGAGAGAGAAACTCAGGGGCTGGGCTTGGCTCCCAGAAGGGCAGGGGGCTGGGTTCCCAGGATGAAGCCTGGGTAGGAGAGCCTGAAAGGGTAGAGGGAACTAGGGCAGGCATAGCAGCCTTGGAGAGGTGGGGGCTGGGGTCCAGGGTTGAGGGCTGGGGGAAGGGAGGAAGGGGGAGGGGAACGGAGGCCATCTCTACTGACAAACACCTCCCCCGATTAGCAGAGCACAAGTCTCTTATTAAAGTGGGTCCCTGGGGATTAGACTATAAAAGTCTCTTTTTCCTCTTCCCCCCTCTCCCTCCCCTCCCCTCCACTCCCCCTCCCTCTCTTAAGAGCTCTGCTAAGCTCTTAAAGGGGACGTACAATACCTGGCTGGAGACCCAGTTCCCTAGTCATACAAGTCCAGGGGGTAAGGGATGGAAGTTGGGATGGGACTCCACATGCTGGTGTGTCCCCCACCCCAGGGCCTAACATGCACTGCCCAATCCATGCTTGCAGGATCTGTTCACTTCCTGCATCCCCATTACCAGGCTCAGGCCTGTTGGCTAAGGGATGCTAGAGACAGTGGGGTGCAAGAGGAAGTCCACAGCCCATCACCCATCCTGGAAATCCTCACACACACTATACCGCATAGACGAGACTCTTTCTCCTCTGTACCCTTCATCTTTGAACAAACTCTTGAACAGAATTCCTTTACAACTCTGTTTCCCAACCATCCCTCCTCGCCCCAAGCTGCCCTCAGTCAGTCCCTCAAGCTGACTCTAGCTTTCATAAGCAGAAGTCTTAAGGACAGAAGGGAGACTGAGGAACACAAGACCAAATTCCCATGCCATCACCCTTACTCCCCATTAGTTTCCTGATTCTTTGAGGTTTCTTTAAAGCCCTAACCCAGTACTGTGGAGCTGAGGTCTGCAGAAACATGTGTGGCAATATGAGGCACTCAGCCTCCCAGATGCACCAGACACACACCTAGGTTCCTGTGCCTCTCCCAGGGGGGTGGGCCACTAGGACTCCCCTCAGCCTCAGCTTTTTATGACCCATCTGCCAATAAACTAGTCTCCCCCCTCTTCTGTTCAGAGTCATAAAACCAACCAGTATATGTGTGTGTGTGTGTGTGTGTGTGTGTGGGTGAGTGGGTGGGGGATCTTGCCAAGCCACTAAGGAATAAGAGAGGGCCTGCTTCCCTGGAGTTGAAGGAGGGGGAACCTCAGTGGGGGAGGGGAAGACAGTCACCTGACCCCAGGAAGAGCTGGGGGTGGGGGGAGCTAGTATTGGCCTGGATTTTCCAGGCCATAAAATTTCAAAGCAGCTCATGTCTATTAACATGTTCATCTTCCGTTTGGCCAGGGGGGCTCAAATGCCTGGGTCTTCCCCACTGTCCATCTATCTCTTTCTCCCTAGGTATTCCTCTCTACGTTCAGTCCAGCTGTGATAGGGGAGGGTGAATAGGGATGAAACACCCTATTAGAGTAGAGTAGCCAAATAGGTGTCCTTATCTCCCAGCGCAATGAAGTTGAGTTCTCTGAGCCGGGTCAGTACCATGAAAGCACAGCTTTTCTGGTCCCTTGGGAAACCCAGACTGAGACGAGACTCAGAATGGAAAGAGTGCCAGCTGGGCTGCCAGGAGGGATATTAGGCTCTGGGATCCTATTCCTGAAAAAGGGAGAGGAGCACTCAGTTCTCTGCAGCCAGGTGGGCCAGAACACCGGGTGGGAAGTTGGTGCCAAGGCCACTGGGAGGCAGGTAGCGCTGCGGACCAGCTGGGACTGCGGGGGTCCGGGAGACTGTCGATTCTGTTCTCAGCCTCCCCATCGCTGCCCTTGAGGACAGAGTTTCTGTCCGGGCCCCTCCGCTGTGGGCCCGGCTTCCCCAGACTCTTCGTGAGGGGCCTTTTTTGCCCACGGGAGTAGGAGGCCGTATCTCGAAACCCGCCCCTTTGCCTGCCC